GGCTCAAAAAAGCCTACCCAATGTTAGAGGACTCATCCTTATAATTGTCTGATACGATGTAAGAGTTTCTTGATAAAAAATGGGACCAGACAATGATTTCCCTCAAAAAAATGATGAAAACCCTAAAAAACCCCCGTGGGTGATATAACCCAACCGCTTTTTTCACATTATAGAGCCCGTCTAGTGAAGAGGAAATCTTTCACTTCTAGTGCGGAATTAAGCTTTCTGAGACCAAGAGCAAGTCGAACCGTCCTTTCCTTAAGATTCTTGAAGGCTGAATTTCCATGATGATGTGATGCAGGAGACCCACCGCGCGGCTAGTGGGGACAATTGGTGAGGCGGAGCCACGCCCCTTCTGCGTTCGTCTGCTCCCTCTCACCCAGATATCTTTAAAAGTTTTCGGGCAAATCAGAATTTGCCCCGAACTAATAACAATTATACCAATGCGAATATATAAATAATAATACCAGTGAATAATAATCAACAGCTACTTCATAATATTAGTTAATAAAGTTGGAAATACAGAATGCTATCTTGCTGAGAGGGTGCAGACGCATAGGAAACGGCTGCCAGCTGTTCTCAGTCAGCGGTGCGGTGGGTCTCGTGCAACACAGGGGAATTGCGTCAAAGAAGAAGCCTCGTTTATTCGGTGTTGGGAGGTGAAACGTCAGCTAGTACTGCAGATGTTACAATTCCACTTGAAGGTACTCCACGAAATTTCTTACACGGTTTCATAGACCAGTCACCATGCTTTAGTCACTTGACCGTACTCTTTTTTTCCCGTCTTTTTTCCCCATGTCTACCACCTTCAAACATCGCATAGTGCAAGAGATATTTCAAGTTTGAGAGGTGTGAGGATGTCGGCTCAGCTATGCAGTGGTGTATGCTATAGCGAAACTGGGCTGTGTTTGTGTTCGCTCATTCCTCATTAACCATTTCATCTCCCATGCCGTTGAGATATCTCTCATTTTCTCTGCTCATAGCCTCTCAATCCAATGATTACATAAACTTTTTTACACACTTTACTGCCAATAACGTCGTAATCTTAAATTTTCTAAAGAACTTTCCTGGAGTCCATAGAATTTCAAGAATTCAGCCAACGTTTGCCTGATCAAATGGCTTCCTTTGACCGAATTGAGGAAGAATTCGGTTTGGATACGCCCACACGGAAAACTTTTCAGCAAGTTGGTATTTTTTCTGAAATATTTAGTTTTGAACAGTTCAAACGTTTCAAAACCAGGTCGGATGGATCTCAGTTACGCTTCAACTTCCATAGAATAGTTCAAACTAATGAATCTGTGAGTTTGAGGTTTTATAGCTTTTCTAGGGTATTATAGATGACAGTAAAAGGGAATTGAAGGTAAATGAAGGTTCACACTTATTCGAGAAGTTCCTTGGCTGCCTTTAAATGAAGCAAATAATCTCGGGTAATTGGGAATGAAGAAGAAGAGTAAATCGCTCACTTCTTTATTAATCTTTTTTTGCTTAATCTGGCTTTTTAATTTTCTTATCTGATGTTTTTTCTACTTCTCTCTATGTTTCCTTTCACTCTTCAACTTTTTCCCCAACTCCTCTTTAATCTGTGTTCCTTTTTTCCTTCCGCTCTGCAGCCCGGGCAAATTTTACCAACTTGTAATTACCCATTTTCTGAGTTCCTTTTCGGGTTCATTTCCTTTTTCGTTCATTTTTCTTTTTAATTTTTTTTCTGCCAACCGTTTCTCACCAAACAGTAAAGTTGTTCGAAGGGTTTCTTATGTAAACATAGTTGAAGCAATGAAGCAGAGCTCGAGTAGCGCTAGCAATCCCTGAGTGCATCGAGTGCAATTGAAATGCAATCTAATATATCCGACAAAATAATGGTCCATGTTGAAATCGATCGATAATCTTTTCCGGAAAGATGATCTGTGAGTGCTTCAGCGAAAAGCGTAGGCAATGATTCATGGTCCCTTGTAGTGTTTTACACTCGAATCCCTGCGAAGCACTTGCATCTCTTTTTATCTGTCTAGACATCGTGAGAGTGAAGGTTCAAAGGCATCTATTTTAAATCATTCTCACGTAATGCATGGTATTTCATTGTAGAAGACGAAGTCCAAGGTGAATTTAAGCCTTTCCAAATTTAAAAGCTGAAGTGTTGGTATAAAATAGTGCACCGGAAGCGAAGAAGCTGCAAAAATCAGGAGTTCCAGGAACGTAAAGGTTTTGATAAATAGCCAGCTAAGTATGGGCTTTGTATGAGATAAAGACGACGGAATTGGTTCCCAAGTGGTATTTGGACCAAATTCCCGGCGTGTGCGTTGCCTGGTGCTAAGTGGGTTGGGGGGGGGGGCCACGCGGCGGCGCGGCGCCTTTTCATGTCTGCGCCCTCTCCAGCGAGATAGTAGACAAGGAAAGGTAGACGAGCCCGTAATAGTGTTTAGGGATGTTTCATAGCTTTTTAATGTTATCTCAACTTTTTGCACGAGATAACCATCTCACCCGGAGCCCCTCCCCTTCTTAAAAATAGGGTTTTATCGGCTCAGAAGAAGAGTATCCATAATATGCAAGCATATAACATGTGCCAAGAGGTAGTTTGTTTTGAATCACGAAACACTTCAGTACAACCTCACCATCCCTTCCCAGACTCAGGCCCAGTACTACTATCTCGCTGGAGAGGGCGCAGACATGAAAAGGCGCCCCCAACCCACCTAGCACCAATTGCCTTTCGTTGCCGCTATAGGTCAGGCTTCTAAACGATTGGCTGTTTGAATGTTTGACATAAATGCTCCATTGTGCATAGTGCAGTTTCTACAAGGCTCTTAAAGTACGGTCACTTCTCGGTTGGTATAAGATGGATACAATTTCCGAGCATTTATTGTGTCTCTTAACTGGGCCGTTTTCAACTTGGCAGCCATTTCATCATTTCCTGCTTGGGGCCCATGGGTTGGTCCTAGATGGAAATTTTGGGAAGCAACTTTATTGCTGGGTGTGTTTTCGATATAGTTCGAACTGAAACTCCCAAAATAATGGGTTCACACTCCTTTGCCTAGTCAGAGCAACTATCTATCTATTATTGATATTTTCTACTGGATACATGTTACGAAAATCATTTGGATCCTTGAAAATCCGGAATTTGAAAAATTTCTCGTTGGGGGGTTTTCCTCCCCCAAACCTGGATTTACCAGTAAGTCTATGACCTGAGAGAAGAAACCACTATATATTTGATGTTCCTACTCTTCTTCCGTAACCGTCACGATTTCCTCAATTTCTCAAGTCTTACCTTAACATCATCGGGGAAATGATCCAATCAAGTTACTCAGCAGATATTCAGGTGATCGCGGCAGAGAAATAGATAACTCTGCAAAGTTTTGATTACACACAGAGTTATTCGAACCATATGGTCTTTTCGCAGCTTTCAGCCTAGCTTTTCAGCTAATTAATCAGCATAAAAAGTTCGAGCATGTGGCTATGCTTGAGCTTTTTATGTTGATTTATGAGCTGAACAGCACATGTGACAATAGATGAGAATCTCCCACACAGTAATCATATAGCTGATTCCACGATTTCCACTCTTGGAAACAGTCCTGAGTTTCGACTGACTAAAGAGCTCAAATTCGAAGATAAGGCCATCTTGTATCGATTGATCCCGCCCATATTCGGATGCGCCCTCGCCTAGCCTTCCACTCAATGGTGAAATGGGATGATTTTTTGCTATACTAAGGGGTAGCAGATTCACATTTCAGTGCTTTTGTTCTCCCAGACAAATCTGCTATAAAACAAGCAAACCCAACAAAATATGGTGGTAAGCTTGGTTGACCCGAGTGGGGATTGATCCAATATTTGATCTCCGTGGGGAAGCTGAGCCACGTGGCACTTTTCCGCCCACGTGATTTTTGAGATTAGGTGATCAAAAACATTTTTTAGTAAAAGTGGTGAACTTTGCGATGAAGCTTACGCCAGGATATCAATTTTCTTCACGATACATGTCCTACGTCCCTTCCAGGGGTGCTTTTAGAGTGCTTCTCTAAATCGCCCTCGATAAAGGAATGAGCGTCTGAAATTGGTCGGGTTTGTATGAAGACTTTCCAGGCTTTCCTGCTCACTAATCGTCGAATGCCAAACTGGTCCACCTGAAATGCATGAAACTGGAATAGAAACCAATGTGTTGTTAGTATCGCATGAAATAATGCCTGCTGCAGAATATGCTCGAATTTCCACGAACGCTCGTACGCACGCAGCAAATATTTGTTAATGGTCCCGCAGCATAAAACTGCAATGGCCGTAATCCTGGATTGAAACGTCTCATCATCATTTACATCTGACCCATATAATGCGCGCTCCAATTGACCAACAGATTTCTGCTGCACGTAGCGGGTACAGAGAGGGCGGCCCGCCGTTCGAGTATAAACTCCCCCTCCTATAAAGGCAAGCAGCCGCGCGTAGTGTCGCTCTGGCGACGCTTAATTCCTCCAGCTATTGGTTTCAACAGTGAACACCATTTTGAAGATCTTGCGATTTTCTCGAATCTTCCCTTGAGGACACGAATTTCCGCTGGGGAGTACACTACTTCTTTCCGTGTTGTTCATTNCCCCCCCCCCCCCCTCCTCCCCTCACAGAATCAGCAACAACCTTTTCCCACCCATCGAGCGGATTCGCTACAAGCTGTATGCTCGCTGGCTCCCAAACTAAAAATACACTTTCAAAAATCACTCGGGACGGGATGATTGAGTGAATTTTGGGTGGTTCTTCATAGTGCACACTGCCGGAAATTATGTCAATTATCGAAAAGTTCAGCTTTTCTCACAAGTCAAAGGCACCAACTGGCACTTTACATCGAATCATTCACTTTTCTGAATGTAATGGTGTAATGTTTTACCTCTTACCACTGAATTCTCCCCAACTTTCTCAGAGCGCATCTGAAAAATGAGATTATTGGATTTTACGGAATGTGCTCAAGCAAAGAACGGAACTCATGCAGTGAAGTGGGGGAGTGTCAAACGGCATGGTTACCGAATACCTGGTCTAGTGTGCCATGATCCACCTTACTGCGCCATTAAGCCCTCTCGTCTTTCTCCAGGGTAGAAGCCCGCCAATTGGAGACGGGGTTTTTCGGAAGGCATGGGAAAGAGTGTTTTGAGTGCCGGCTGCCTACCGGTTCATCGAACTGATTAAATTAATACTCAAAGTTAGAAGCGGTTCCAAGAGGAACTTGAAGGCATGGCGCAACCTGACAAAGACTTGATCAGCATTAAGTACGACAAGCTTCGTTAGATTGACCATTTCCTTTTGTAACATAAGGTTCCACAGGGACAGAAGTTTTAGGAAAAATAGGAAATTCGCTTCTTACTCTTCTCAGTTATTGATTTGAATGTATACATTTTCCGATATGTTGATGGTTGCTGGTCGTGAAGGGGGTTCAGATCCTATCCTCCTATCCAGATGGGCAATAGGAGGCCACCCATGGCTAGTTTACTATGTTATGAACTACATCTCAACCCCCGTGTCCTTTCTTTTGTGTGGTGTGGTTTCAGTGTGGGTGGGACTTTAAAAACGGCGTCTCCTGTTCATCATATCAACTGCTGCTCAATGCGTTTTTACTTCTACCACGCCAGCCTAAGGGCGTTCCCCATTGGCTAAGATTAGTCCACTGATGCTGTCTAGCAGGCCCCGCCAATCGGTGGCAGATCTTCGTAAAACCGTAAGCAAATCACAGCTGCCTGTTTCGACAGAGGTGAATATTGAGATTTTTCTCATTGCTTTCTCTGTTTCTCCTCGCTTCTTTGGTTTTTTGCTAATTATGGACTTCGAACTGGTTTTGAGGGAGATGATCTTTTGTAACCGCAATTCGAATTGTGACTGGTTCTTTGCGAACTTTTTTTAGTAGCAGCCATTCCTGACTCTTTCTTGCTTTTACAGTTCTTCCGCTAAATTTACAGAACTTTTAGTCAGAGCTATTCAGTTAACCACCTCCTCAGTCTTTTAGGATCTGTTCCACCAGAATTGACCTAGTTACCTTTACTAACTGCACTGATGGGTCACGAGGTCCTGCGAATTCCCTTGTCAAATTCGGGTTCAACCTTTGCATTCGCTTATTTTATATCTACATCTTTTATTTTACATTCGAAGGAATATTATAAATTCAAGTTTTTATTGATCGCTTCTTATTGATTGCTGCTAATGATTGTCTTTTATACATGAATTACCAGCAGCATATGGTGAACAGTGAAATGTCTGACCTCACTAAAATTCCAGTAGATCCACATTTCTGGGTCTTGATACCACTTGAACTGCTCGGGGATAGAATCACTGGTGGACATCCGCCCAGACCAATCGTGTCATCCATCCGGAGTCAATCGATTGGTCCAAAGTCGTTTGAGAGGATAAAAGCATTGGCTTTTACTTTGTTTGGCTCTACCAATTCATTGTACATGACGCGAGTGCGCTCAAAATGTCTCCACGATCCTGAATAGAAATCGAATGCGGGGCGCATGTAAAAACCGGATTGATTAGTGACTTTATGTAGAATGATGAATGATGAATAGTGGTAAAAATTAAGTTGTCGATGGTCCCTAGTCAAGAAAAGGAACTTCCCTAACCAGCCTAACCAGCTGTGTAAGAAAAGGTTTTCTTCTGTGAGTTTTCAGATTGAAATTTTCTGTTATGTAACTGGTTGCTAAGAAGCTCAGAGAAGAACGAAGTCAGAGTTTTAGACAAGCTTCAATTGCAAGATATCGTACCATAATTAAAATTATTTGTCACATTTCATTTAAAGATCATTAGTATGTAAGGAGCCAGATATTCTCCCTCAATTCCATACTTTATTTAAAGACGGTCTTATAGACGCCAGCAATTTTTAGACTTATAAATATTAACGAGGCATATTTTGGCTAACGTTTATTTTTTTTTTGAGTAGGCATCGAGTAAATTATGCATGGGCGCTTGGTTGACTGTTAGCCCATTCCTTGAGCTTCGCAATGTCATGGAGCCAACATCAACAGGGAAAGCGTATGTCTGCCCAATTCCTTTGAGTCATGCCGAATTCCTATGAGCGATCCCATTCGGAATCACAACGGTCGGCATGGTGAACTTACTTGGCTTTGCCCCTCGGGTGAGCTGTATAGGATGCTGAACATCCAATTGCCGCTTTTTGCTCAAAGAAGCTCGGCGACCTTAAGACAGATACACAATTTTGTGCAACAAAGTAGTAACGAAAGTTTTGGAGACGGTCCCGTTTTTGGGGAGCTCTCAGACGATTGGTACCACCAAGCGACCCCAAAGGCGCCACTTATGTCTTCATCACTTTCACCCACGCGCCTCAGAATATTTCACTTTTATTCCACTGCTTATTGCCATATATCGCTTTTTACCTACAGTGATGATTCAAATGTATCCAAGCTCTTGTATCTGACGGCTTTGCTATAGGTGGACGTTCGTTCAGCTCAACTCTAAGACATTTTTATCTTCTTCAAGAATTTAATAGAACTTCGATCCTGTTGATATGCTGCCTTCCGCCGGAGAAAGCTGAAGCCTTTTCCTGCTGATACAACGATAAAAATTAGCTATATCTCGAGATATCGATCCTTCTAACCAGCAAGACAGCAATCTCCCCTGA